GACTTTTGTGTTGAGTCTTGGACCCCCTGGGGAAGCATCACCCCTCAAACCAACTGCAGATGTGCATGTTGCAGCCACTCCGCATTAATAACGAAAATAATAATTAATATTGAGAATTATTTTTTTATTATCATTATTATTATTATTTTGTTTTATCTCTTTTTTTACTTTGGTGTTAAGACCCCATTGAGAAACCTCCTGAAGTGCGAGTCTTGTCGGATGCATTTTGCTGGAAGTTCATGTTTGGCTTTCGCCCAGAGCAGCCTCGCACCGGGGCTGTGCACAGCCAAGCCGACTTAATTTTGGGAACCACCTGATGTAGCTCATGTGGAGGAACCATCCCCACACGCCCATCAGCATCAGGCCCTGCTGCCAATGCTGGGGGCGAGGAGGGGAAGCAACCAGTGACGGGGGGGATCATGTGGTTTTAGGGGAGGATTTTTTTACTGTACATACTATATTGATTTTGAATATACTGGTTTTTTACTATACATACTCTATTGATTTTTGCTGTGGGCTGGACCTTACCCTAAAGAGGGCGTCTGGTGGGCTCAGCCCAGGAGGTCCCTGGGTGTGGGGGTCAGTCCCACAGCCATGGGGCACTGAGGAGGAGGTGGAAGCAGCCGACGTGGCTGCGTGCCCGGCGTTAACCTCTCGCCCTTGCACTCGGTGTAGCAGCACCGGGAGAAGGCACCGTCGCTCGCCCCGTGTCCACCGCAGGCCAGGCCATGAAGACGGAGAAGGACGAGGGGGTGCCCACCTTCTCCCTGGGGGGGAAATACAATGGAGAGGGGGCAGGTGAGTCCCCATGCTGTGAGGGGGTTGAGGAGAGGAGTTGGGTGGGATTGAGGGGAGAAGCTGCCTTCTGCTGCTGTGAGGTTCCTTTGGCCGAATCCCATCCCAGAGGGGTGGCTGGGAGCACCCTGAGGGTGTCCATGGGTGCACATGAGTGTCCATGGGGGTGCACGTGGGTGTACATGTGCCCGTGGGTATGCACGTGGTGTCCCCAAACGCAACCCAGGCACCAGCAGCTTTTTGTAGAGCAAAGACCTCCCCATCTCTGATCACCCCGGCAGGTTCCTGCCAAGCCAGCTTCCCCCAGACCCCCCATTGCTGCACCCCTGTTTGTAAAGGACAGGGCGGCGGGCAGAGGGGTTTTGACTCCAGCACCCACCGCCCCACGGCCTCTCCCCAGGTTGCAGTGAAGCGGCTCTGCCCGGCGGCCCCATGGCAGTGGTGGGGAACGGAGGGACCCCAGCCCAGGACCTGCGGACGCTGAAGCGCAGACCTGTGCCAGGTGAGACCCCCTGCCATGTCCCCAGCCCTGCCCCAGGGACGTGACGGTGACAACCGGGGCAGGGACGATGCCGACGGCTCTGTCTCCTTCCAGGAAAGCACTACCAGTGCTCGAGCTACGGGTGCAAACTGGCCTTCCCCAGCATGCAGGAGCTGATGGACCACCTGAAGGTCCACTACAGACCCACACAGTCCCTCGAGGGTAAGGCCGGAATGCCCTGCATCACCCCAGGGTGTCCTTTTTTTGGGCTGGGAGGTGGCAAAGTGGGGCTTGGGGCTGAGATGGCGCTGGTGGCGCTGGTGCCGGTACTTCTGGGAGTGGGGATGGAGCCTCACTGGTGGGGCTGCCCCCAGCCGGGCCTGAATCTCTGGGAAGTGGTTGAACCCGTATGCTTGGTTGTATTTAAAAGCCATGTAGATACAAAGCTCAGCCCATGGTAGGGTTAAACAGCGGTCAGATTTGATGATCTTAAAGGTCTTTTCCAACCCTAAGGATATTTCTGTGATTTCTTTGTCCAGGTAAAACCTTCCAATGTCCCACACTGGGCTGCGGAGAAACCCTCCCCAGCATGCAGGACCTCATGGCCCACATGAAGGTGCACTACAAACCAAACCGCTACTTCAAGTGAGTCCCGCTGGACCCCTTCCCGCTCCTGTGCCACCCACTGGCCTGCAGTCACCTCCCATGGCACCCAAACCGCCCCCAGCACCTGGGCTTCCACCCTGGCAGACCCCAGGGCCGGGCTGGGTGGAGATGGGGGTCACTGATGCCACCCCCCTGGTTTTGCAGGTGTGAGAACTGCCTGCTGCGCTTCCGGACGCACCGCTCCCTCTTCAAGCACCTGCACGTCTGCTCCGACAGCGCCAGCAGCCCCCCGCTGCCCCCCAGAACCGACAAACCCACCCCACCTGCTACCTCTGCCCTGGAGAAGGACCCCCCGGCCAAGCCCCCGGAGGGGCTCCCCAAACTCCCCGGCGTAATCCGGCCCCCGGAGAAAGAAGCC